TGTTCTGCAGTAGCACTTTATGCACTGTAGCCAGCAATCAGCTATAATCAGCTAGCAGCAGTAACTTGCCAGTTAGGTTACTATGGCAATCATATGTTTCTATTAAAGGAAAATCCATTATTAAAGGAGGAAGAGCTGCAGTTTAGGTTTTTTGTATTTGTTTTCTACACTTGTCTATTTCTGTGTGATTTTTCTACATTTCACAGAATTACTTTGGAAATCACCACAGAACTAAATGCAAAACCCCCCAAAACACTGTGCAATGGTCTGTTGTTTTTCTTTTTTAATGTTGGTGCAAAACAGTCTGCAAGTTTGATTTGTTGGCACTGACATCCAAAGATGTGTACCATTAATATTCCTGATAAGTGCAAATGTTTCTGCTATCAAATTCCATTGTACTTGCTCTGACAGTATCTTAGCATAACATTTTCTACAATTAGCCAGTTATCTGTGGGAATAAGATAAATATACTTGCCAAAATAGAAAATAGGGCCAGGAATACACCAGGGCCAGGAGTGTTTTTTCAGCATTAGTGTCTATCATAGATTTTCCTATAATTCTAATAAACAATATCCGATGTTGCTGATTATTATTTTCTCTGCATTTCTCAGTGGTCGCAGTGAACAACCTCATCTGGCAAACCAACGCCATGTTCCGGCCGTTTGTAGAGGTTAACGCCGTGGGACCACATCTGGCAGACAAGAAGCGCAAATTCAGCACCAAGACCAAGAATAACAATTGGTCACCAAAGTACAATGAAACATTCCAATAGTGAGTAATCGTGCTTCCTTTGTTTTAGTTAAAGAGTTTCTATATTATTTAGGATATTATCATTATTTGCAGCATTTTACCCACCTGCATACAATTTACAATATAGTGTGCAACATTCTGTACCTTAAATACTGCTGTACCTTCAAACTAGTTTTTTAATATGCTAACTGCACAGTACAGAAGAGCCTCCAGCAACTTAGGGCCCGTGTCCACCAAAAAGTTTTTTCTTGAGGCCAGGCCAATTCATTGCAATGGGAGGGACACGTTTTTATAGACGGGTTTCTGTGCAACGTCACACCCGAGATGTGTGCGCAACCAGGGGGCAGAAAGCAGCATTCTGTCCTCGCTGCACATCAGTTTAAACGGCATATCTAGCTGCAGTGTTGGGCAAATTACTCAGACATTGTAATGACTAACTTTTTACTTATTACTCATTTAAAAAGTAATAATATTACTTTACTTATTAATGGGTATTAAAAGTACATAGTCACGTTACTCATTCTGTTACAATGACTTTCAACCACAGCAATCCATAAAAGTGACGGGAAACCTGTTCAGCAATGTATTTTAGATATGAATCCACTTTATTGGAACAATAATTAAGCTGAGGACTCAACAACCAGACGAACTGAAAACACATGATACAGCATCCTCTGGTCTGAGGCTGCATCATATAGGCTATTAAAAAATAATTAAAAAACAAAGCAGGTCTTTCCCGACATTTTAACTGATCCCATATTCATAACAGCATCAATGAATATGATTTTTACAGTACATAACATTTCTTAACCTCACTGGCTGAAATAGAAAAAACAAAGCAAGTCTCTCCCGACTTTTTAAACTAATCACGTGACGTTATCCATAACAGCATCAATGAGGATGATTTTTACGAAGCATATAAAGTTTTTTTACGCCACTGTCTGAGATAAAAACAAACAATTAAGCAAGTGTCTTGACTTTTGAACTAAAGTTACTGTTTTGCACATGCATTTATAAGGGAAGTATTGCGTGCTTTTACAAAACACAATACGTTGATTAATGCCCCTCCCTCCTGCAGAGTGGATACGTCACTGGCAGTAACGTTAGTTGCCGGAGTTTCTCTCTACAGGCTAAGTTTCACGTTGCTTTAGCAGATGCTTCAATACAAAATTGTTCATGGTTGAAAGCTTTTTGCTGGTCTCACAGCATTTACAGAAGACCATGTTCTTTGCATCTCTGAGTGTGACACAGCTATGTTAGGCCTAATGGCAGTGTTTCAGCCTTTTCTTCATGCAGAGCAAGGGTCAGAGCATGTAGACCTAAGCCTACTTGCAGCACATCACCTCCACAGATATTATGTATTATAGCAACCAAAGCGCCTCAACCAAAAAAACGCTGCACCTCCAAAGCGCACCCTAGCGCACCCAGCCTGGCATTTTCAGCTGGTAAAAATGCTTTGGTTACAGTAGCCATGTTTCCATCAATGTTTTTTAATGCACATTTTGAAGTATCGCATTATAAGAAGTTGATGGAAACAGCAAAATTCTGAAAAAAAAAATCCTTAATTTCGCAAAAAGGTTTTTACACCAACTTGAAGTGCCTTTGTCGAAAACCAGTTAATGCGCTAAATGGGAGAAATACTTTTGCTGAATAAGTTCTGACGTAGCAAACTTGTAACTCGCGTCTGATAAGCTGTTTCCGCGTCTGTGTCTTACTGGATATTTCCATAATGTGCAGAGACATGGCTGGAAGCAGTTTGCCCGCTTGAAAAATGTTCCTGAGGACCAAATGCCATCAGTTCCATGCAGCTGGTTTTGTTTCTGATTTGGAACCCATATGTCTTGTATATTACAGCCATGTGTAACATCAACTGACGTAACTACACTTTCCTAGCCTGGTTTATTTGCTCCAAACCAGCTGATGGAAATGCATGTTTCCCATTTACTTTTTTTTCCGCTTAAAATTCACATTACAATTAGATGGAAACATGCCTAGTATATACCATATAATACTTGCAATACCTTACAGTTGAAGTCCTTCAATTGTTCTAAGCCAGTGATACTCAACTTACAGCCCGCAATAGGGTGCCAGGTGGCCTTCCATTTTTTTATTCACAATGAAAATAAATTGATTCACACTGAAACTACCAAAAAGACTGATGTTCACCAAATGGCCATTTGAGACTGACTCCCATAGTGAGTCTGTCTCCATGTTCCAGCAAAAATAATCATGTTTACAGCCTGGTACAAAGCACAGTTTTGGTCTCTAGAGTTAATTTTCCCATTCATGAAAACTATATAGGGAGCAAATTTTTATATAACTCACCTGATTTGTTATTATATTAAGGCTTAAAGTAATGTGTGGTCATTGTGAGTGACAGGTGGGTGCCATGTAAACCTGTTGCTTTGTCAGCTGTAGTCTGAACACACCATTAGGTAGAAACCCTCGCTCTTCCCCGGCTCCAACCGCTCAATAAAATGCGGTCACCTCTGGCCCAAAACAAACAAGATGGCGATGGCCATAATGCTTCAAAACTGTTGTCCACAAATCAATGGGTGACGTTAGTAAATGTTCAATTTCACTTGGGAAGTTGCATATTAGCCTATCAGTGATCTCTGCAGTGTGCAGAAAGGGTGACACTTTCTGCGAAAAGGTAACGTACACCTGATGCGTATGGCAAATGGGAGAAGTTTGGCTTCAGAAAACTTCACCAAAAATACTTGTTAAAGTTTAGGAACAGGTCATGGTTTGGGATGAAATAAAAAATCAAGCCTTGACTTTTGGTTTCACACGGGACACCAACAGACACTTCTGGGAGAAAGTCCTTTGTCTGACCCATCAATCTGCCCCGACCTCCTCCCTACAGGGACTCTGTCCCTGGCCCCTGGCTTTGTGTCATTTTGTGTAAGTGGCTCATGGGCAAATCAAGTTGAGTATCCTTGTTCATATCAAAGAATAGAATGCAATTACTTTACCAGCACTTCTGCTCATTGCATTGAAACTGTAGAAGGAAGTCAAGAGAATGCTTTAGCAATCCTAGCATAGACTTGTGCCCTATTTGTCCATTTAGTACAGGCTACTTTTAAGTGGCTTAAAAACTGCTTGACAGTATCTGAACTGTCATGTTATGGTAAACCCTACATTTTTATGATCTATGCAGGTTGAACAATTTCTAAACTTATTGAATACTACAGTAGAGTAAAACTCTACATATTTGAACTCTTGAGTTTGACCTTTCTGATCTCACCGTGTCATTTCTCCAGTGTTCTAAGTAATGAACATGGTCCAGAGGCGTACGAGCTGCACGTCTCAGTAAAGGACTACTGCTTTGCCCGCGAGGACCGTGTCATCGGCATGACGGTCATCCAGCTCCGAGAGCTGGCGGACAAGGGCAGCTGCTCCGCCTGCTACCCCCTGATGAAGAGCATCTCCATGGACGAAACTGGCCTCACCATCATGAGGATACTCTCTCAAAGGACCAACGATGAGGTGGCCAAGGAGTTTGTGCGTCTTAAGACAGACACACGCTCGGCAGAGGAAGTGTCGTAATGTGGAGCAAAAATGCAGTATTAAAAATTGTTGTGTTGTCTTAGGTGAGAGATAAAGAGAAAAAGGAGAGAGCAGTAGCAACAGTTGTTCTTTCTGGATAGCTGGAGAATGAGATTGTCCAAAGAGAAGCCGAGAAGGCACAAATGTGGCAAGGCAGCAAGACAGTGAGAGAGAGAGTTGTGTTTGTTTGTTTGTTTTTGTGCATGTGCGTAAAACATCTGTTGGAATGTTCATTTTAAAACTACAGTATGTACAAGTGTTTACTTACCGTATGCTTACTATTAAGTACTATATTCTACGAGTTATGTTAACGAGACATGAAATACCTTTTGTACAACATTTAGTCTTTTTGAACAGAGATTTGTTCCAATAAAGTGCCAAACCAGTGAAAAAAGAACAAAACCAACGTATATGAATTATGGTGAACTTTGTATGTTTGAAATTTGCTCAGTTATTTTGTCCGGTGTAAGTCATTTTCTGACCGTGTGGCGTTTTGATTGTTGCAAAGTCTTTCATTTTGCACCCTCGTTTTTTGGCTTCACGTTCTTCCACACGGCACTGTTGTGCATGTCCTCTTCTCGGTCATGTCTCTCCCATGATTCCACAGTGACCACCGAGCAGGGTCCTGTCCCCTTGCCTTCAAACTGTTTGTATTTTAAGTCGACCTGAAAATAGACCATGTTTTTTTAAATGGCGATGACTGCTATGTAAACCTTCATAGGTGTTTGTAATTTTATAACCATGACAACAATGACGACAGCCTCCAGTGCTAACAGTCTTAGCAAAAAGGATGGAAATGTTTTCTTTTTCTTTGGCTTTTTGTTCCTTCTTTTTGGCCATCAGCTTCCAGCCTTTCTGAATGACCACTGTGAACATGAGCTTTGGAAGGCAAGCTTACATGACATTGCTGACAGTTTGATATTATTGTTTCATATTTTTCCGATAACTTTGTTCCTGATAAACTGCCAAAGTTACATAAAATATTTGTACAAAAGCAATCCATTACATGTATGAAGATATATATGTACATGTGATCTATTACTTTTTCAATGCTTAATATTTGATTATTGATAGGGTGGTACTAAGATTTTATTTTTTTTATTTCCTGTGAAGCTGTTAACCAATATGAAAGTTGCACATGCTACTTTACACATTAGTTATATCAGCTTCTGTCACTGGAATTATTTTTCTTCATAAAGGAAAGAGTCTAACATTTGGTAAATATGCAACATTCCTATGTATTGCACTGATGGCGAATTGTATGTCATGTAAATATATTTAGTGAGATATTGTACAAAAGTCTACTTTTCTTCAATGTGCATAAAGTATGTGCAAATGTGTTAAAACATCTGGGTTATTTTGAACAATCTTCCTGTAAGCATCCGATCATTTCTGAGGTCATTTTGCAATTGAATCTTCAGGTTCAGGTAAGTAATTAGAACTAACCTGCCAACTGATATTCATACAAATTCATTGCACCTGCTTTCTTGCATTTTGTGTTGAGAGCTACAATATGAAAATGAAAAGATATTATCTACTTTTGGGGAACAGTTTGCACAAAGTTTGCATACAATTCTGTCATGAACTGTATGCGTTATTCAGTTGCATCCAAAGTGGCTCAGGCTCAGCAAATCAGCAACCAATTAATGCCATTAAGAGGAAAAATAAGCTGTGTTGAACGTGAAAATTAATTAATAAATAAATTATTTTAAAATAATATAACCTCTTAAAAAGTATTCCAACAATTTAACATGACTTTTCATAACTTTGGAAGTCACGATGGATGGGGTGTATAAAAAGGATAAAAAACGATGCAGATCAGAACCAGAGGTCATCTTTTTTATTTAGAAACTTGGTGCCTACATTACCCACAATTCAACTCGACTGACAGTCAAGGTGTAGCAGGCTAGTAGCAGCTAACGTGGCTTCAAGTTACTAGTCTCAAGCAGAGATGAGGAGCGGGCAACAGAGGTCTGGTAAGGTCACTTCTTTGTATTTTCCAACCATCATCACTTGAGGCATACTTCACACTGCTCCCTCTGGATCCATCAAAGGCTTTGTATATTTTTTTCACATATCTAGTAGAACCTCATGCGCTGACAAACTTTGAGGTCTAAATTCGGTGGAGTACCCCTTAAAATTTTAGAAACATCTTTCTATACACCATAAAGCACATTTTCCACTACTAAACAAATTTTAACTGTGTCTTCCAATGATCTTGCAATAAGACATTTAATGGCTAATTTTACACATATCAGATTGCAGGTGAACACACTCAAGCCCAGAGAGTTTATGCCAGCCTCATACACTGCTCAAAAAAATAAAGGGAACACTTAAACAACACAATGTAACTCCAAGTCAATCACACTCCTGTGAAATCAAACTGTCCACTTAGGAAGCAACACTGATTGACAATCAATTTCACATGCTGTTGTGCAAATGGAATAGACAGGTGGAAATTATAGGTAATTAGACACTCCCAATAAAGGAGTGGTTCTGCAGGTGGTGACCACAGACCACTTCTCAGTTCCTATGCTTCCTGCTTCCTGGCTGATGTTTTGGTCACTTTTGAATGCTGGCGGTGTTTTCACTCTAGTGGTAGCATGAGACGGAGTCTACAACCCACACAAGTGGCTCAGGTAGTGCAGCTCATCCAGGATGGCACATCAATGTGAGCTGTGGCAAGAAGGTTTGCTGTGTCTGTCAGCGTAGTGTCCAGAGCATGGAGGCGCTACCAGGAGACAGGCCAGTACATCAGGAGACGTGGAGGAGGACGTGGGAGGGTAACAGCCCAGCAGCAGGACCGCTACCTCCGCCTTTGTGCAAGGAGGAGCAGGAGGAGCACTGCCAGAGCCCTGCAAAATGACCTCCAGCAGGCCACAATTGTGCATGTGTTGGCTCAAACGGTCAGAAACAGACTCCATGAGGGTGGTATGAGGGCCCGACGTCCACAGGTGGGGGTTGTCCTTACAGCCCAACACCGTGCAGGATGCAAGATTGGCAAATTCGCTGAGAAAGATGAAAGCAGGTTCACACTGAACACATGTGACAGACGTGACAGAGTATGGAGATGCCGTGGAGAACGTTCTGCTGCCTGCAACATCCTCCAGCATGAAGCGGTGGGTCAGTAATGGTGTGGGGTGGCATTTCTTTGGGGGGCCGCACAGCACTTCATGTCCTCGCCAGAGGTAGCCTGACTGCCATTAGGTACCGAGATGAGATCCTCAGACCCCTTGTGAGACCATATGCTGGTGCGGTTGGCCTTGGGTTCCTCCTAATGCAAGACAATGCTAGACCATATGTGGCTGGAGTGTGTCAGCAGTTCCTGCAAGAGGAAGGCATTGATGCTATGGACTGGCCCGCCCGTTCCCCAGTCCTGAATCCAATTGAGCACATCTGGGACATCATGTCTCGCTCCAACCACCAACGCCACGTTGCACCACAGACTGTCCAGGAGTTGGCAGATGCTTTAGTCCAGGTCTGGGAGGAGATCCCTCAGGAGACCATCCGCCACCTCATCAGGAGCATGCCCAGGCGTTGTAGGGAGGTCATACAGGCACGTGGAAGCCACACACACTACTGAGCCTCATTTGACTTGTTTTAAGGACATTACATCAAAGTTGGATTGGCCTGTAGTGTGGTTTTCCACTTTGATTTTGAGTGTGACTCCAAATCCAGACCTCCATGGGTTGATAGATTTGATTTCCATTGATAATTTTTGTGTGATTTTGTTGTCAGCACATTCAACTATGTAAAGAAAGGAGTATTTAATGAGATTATTTCATTCATTCAGATCTAGGATGTGTTATTTTAGTGTTCCCTTTATTTTTTTGAGCAGTGTACTAAAGAGCATTGTGCCATTTTAAAACATGTAAAGAGTATCCCTAAAATTAAAGAATCTTGATGTGTTTTAACTATGGGATTGACTATTGGCTGCTGGAGCCATTCCCTCCCCGTCTGCTGCATATCATTTTCCTAGTGGTGTCTGCACATGGGATCTGAGACCTGTTAGCATTTTGATGTTTACTCTTTGAAAAACACCTGCAGATACTTTTACAAGATACTGTAATCCTTTGCACCAAACATGAAGGCTTTACTATTTTTGTGATTTCATGGTGCCTGAGATGAGTGTTTCCAGATCAGTTATGCTCTACTTACTGTCAGTCATTCGAAACCCACAGGAAGAAATGGCAGAAATAATCCCTCAAAAATCCTACAGAAACATGTCACCTGCAAAAACCACTCCATGTCTTTTTATTTGGGCCATCTATGTTCCTTCAGAGAGCAGTTAATTTCTTGCTAAATGTTGCCTAAAGCTCAACACTGTAAAGCCCCATGTAAAACAAAAAGTGCACTTTTCTTTTCATGCTAAAACACTGGCAAATAGACCGATAACAAAGCTGCTTTAAAAGCTCAATCCCTTAAAGCAGTAGTGCAACATTTTGTGAAATACACTTTGTTTTATGCGTTAGAAACAATAGATACCACTTCATATCTATGTGCTTCATAGCAGAAGCCATATTATCTTAGATTAGCATATAGCAGGGGTTGGCAAATAAGTCTGGCATTGGGCCAAATTTTTTTCAAGTCATTAGATGGTGGGCCAGAACATAATGAATTTATCATTTATACAGGTGCTGGTCATATAATTAGAACATTATCAAAAAGTTGATTTATTTCAGTAATTCCATTCAAAAAGTGAAACCTGTATAATGTATACATTCATTCAAGTGTTCATTCCTTTTCATTTTGATGATTATAACTGACAACTAATGAAAACCCCAAAATCAGTATCTCCGGAAAAAATTAGAATATTGTGAAAAGGTTCAATATTGAAGACACCTCGTGCCACACTCTAATCAGCTAATTAACTCAAAACCTTTAAATGGTCTCTCACACTAGTTCTGTAGGCTACACAATCATGGGGAAGACTACTGACTTGACAGCTGTCCAAAAGATGACCATTGACACCTTGCACAAGGAGGACAAGACACAAAAGGTCATTTGCTAAAGAGGCTGGCTGTTCACAGAGCTCTGTGTCCAAGCACATTAATAGAGAGGCGAAGGGAAGGAAAAGGTGTGGTAGACAAAAAGTGTACAAGCAGTAGGGATAACCGCACCATGGAGAGGATTGTGAGACAAAACCCATTCAAAAATATGGGGGAGATTCACAAAGAGTGGACTGCAGCTGGAGTCAGTGCTTCAAGAACCACCACGCACAGACGTATGCAAGACATGGGTTTCAGCTGTCGCTTTCCTTGTGTCAAGCCACTCTTGAACAAGACACAGCGTCAGAAGCGTCTCGCCTGGGCTAAAGACAAAAAGGACTGGACTGTTGCTGAGTGGTCCAAAGTTATGTTCTCTGATGAAAGTAAATTTTTCATTTCCTTTGGAAATCAAGGTCCCAGAGTCTGGAGGAGGAGAGGAGAGGCACAGAATCCACGTTGCTTGAAGTCCAGTGTAAAGTTTCCACAGTCAGTGATGGTTTAGGGTGCCATGTCATCTGCTGGTGTTGGTCCACTGTGTTTTCTGAGGTCCAAGGTCAACGCAGGCGTCTACCAGGAAGTCTTAGAGCACTTCATGCTTCCTGCTGCTGACCAACTTTATGGAGATGCAGATTTCATTTTCCAACAGGACTTGGCACCTGCACACAGTGCCAAAGCTACCAGTACCTGGTTTAAGGACCATTGTATCCCTGTTCTTAATTGGCCAGCAAACTCGCCTGACCTTAACCCTATAGAAAATCTATGGAGAAGAGGAAGATGTGATACGCCAGACCCAACAATGCAGAAGAGCTGCAGGCCACTATCAGAGCAACCTGGGCTCTTATAACACCTGAGCAGTGCCACAACTCCATGCCAATTCAGGCAAAAGGAGCCCCAACTAAGTATTGAGTGCTGTACATGCTCATACTTTTCATGTTCATACTTTTCAGTTGGCCAACACTTCTAAAAATCCTTTTTTTGTATTGGTCTTAAGTAATATTCTAATTTTCGGAGATACTGAATTTGGGATTTTCATTAGTTGTCAGTTTCATTCATCACAATTAAATGAAATAAACACTTGAAATATATCAGTCTGTGTGTAATGAACGAATATAATATCCAAGTTTCACTTTTTGAATGGAATTACTGAAATAAATCAACTTTTTGATGATATTCTAATTATATGACCAGCACCTGTAATCCACCATTTACTGTGTGCCTGTTCAGCTCAGTCAGTAGTGCACAGGATTCCCGGTCAAAGGGATGTATGTTCAATTCCTTCTTGTTGCTAGTGTTATTTTTCTCCCTTTTCAACAAATTGATTATGAAGAGATTGTTTTACATGTTCACGTAAGCATGTA